TGAACTCAATATCATACTCTCTTACTTCATCCCAACTACATATAGTTTCTTATTCCGTAAATACGTTTTAGTTTACCCGTTTTTAGATAAATTTATATGAATTTATAAACATGGCAGTTTTTATCTGTAACAAATAAAAAAAAGCCTGACAAACATTAACTGTTATTTTCTCAAACATTCCGTGTTTTAATTCTCACTTTACAACACTTTTCTCTCTTAATTCTAATGGAAACATACCTATATATTTTTTTTCATTTTTCGTTTGTACAAAAAGAACATCACAATAAAATTTCACTGCCTGTTTTGAAATATAATTGTAAACATGTCAAACGTATTAACGCATAGGTACCGGTCACAATTTATTTTCAGCAGCCCATAGAAAAATAAATAGTGACCGGAGTCTGTGCGGATGGGTCTCCACAGACCGTTTTCACATGGTACATATTTCCACCGATATCTTGACAATGAACGATTTTATCTGAATTTTTCATGAAAACGAGAATTAGATTTCATCGTATTGAATGTATCGATCATGAATCATTGAGGCGTTACCATACCACATCCGCTACATGTTATAGGGTGGGGATAGGGGACAATATGCATTATAATGTTTAGTAATCATCCTGCACCTTTGATCTATCCCAGCCAATTAGAAATCGTTGGATTGTTACGTCACCAAAACACAATAGACATTGTTAACTTCATGCCAATGTTTTAAAAAAAATGAAACATTTATATTAGAACAACAGAAATATTTACTGAATGTTATATTTGATATCGTAATTATCGCTGTTACAGGGGGATATTGTCATTGACGTAACAGTATTGTCAACTGTTTTAAGCTGAGAAGACTGTGTGTGGACCTCGTCATTATGACCTCTTTATACATGTAAATGTGCGTTACATAGTTACATTTTAATCAACAGGCGTTATGACAGTGGAATGTGCAGGTGACGGATAGCCGATCACAGGACATTGTAAGTACCGCTTATCTCTATAACCCGGGGGTTGGGGTCAGCTCTACCCGATTTATACTTAGTCATGGAATCTGGACGAACATGGATGTAGTTTAAACAATGGTATTAGACTGAAGAATATACCGGCTTAATTATCATATACAAGTATACCGGTACACAATCGTAAACATAGGCATGCCATGGTCGACTCGCCCCGTCAGAACAGTGGGCTTTCCACGGGGTTGTTAGACGACAATGTATTATTTTCAATATGTCGATGGCTTAATAGTATATATTTTAGATGATATATAATGGGTGATATATTATGATATATTCCACGTTTGTTAATGCACGTTTATTACACATCACGTGATGTATACGATATTGAATGTAATTGTGTTGTGGCACAAGTACATATGATCTACATACAATATTTAAAAGGTCATTAATAAAAGCTACGAGGAATAATTCGGAAATACGTAATCAGTTATAATGAATAACCACTTCCGTCTTGTGGTATATACAAGTTCAGCCGGTTCTTAGCCGACGTCTACATGTTATAAAATAAGTCACGCGAGTCTTCCGATGTTAAGTTGATGTGTTATATAATATAAGAAACACTTAAAATATGCTTCGATTGTTATAAAACATAATCGTCCACAGGAACATTTCCTAAATAATCTGAATTCAAATACCATGTGATATCCACATCAGCCTTATTTAGATATCCACATCAGCCTTATTTAGATATCCTCATCAACATTTCGAATGTCACCGATCCCAGGCGTTTTCTAGGTAACCTACAAAACAAACCAACCCCAACCCTCAACCCCCATCAATGTTTAAAGTCACCAATCCTAGGCAACAAACCAACTCCAAATCCACACCGATAGTTCAAAAGTCACCAATCCTCGGCAACAAACCAACTCCAAATCTACACCGATAGTTCAAAAGTCACCAATCCTCGGCAACAAACCAACTCCAAATCTACACCGATAGTTCAAAAGTCACCAATCCTCGGCAACAAACCAACTCCAAATCCACACCGATAGTTCAAAAGTCACCAATCCTAGGCAACAAACCAACTCCAAATCCACACCGATAGTTCAAAAGTCACCAATCCTCGGCAACAAACCAACTCCAAATCCACACCGATAGTTCAAAAGTCACCAATCCTCGGCAACAAACCAACTCCAAATCCACACCGATAGTTCAAAAGTCACCAATCCTCGGCAACAAACCAACTCCAAATCCACACCGATAGTTCAAAAGTCACCAATCCTAGGCAACAAACCAACTCCAAATCTACACCGATAGTTCAAAAGTCACCAATCCTCGGCAACAAACCAACTCCAAATCTACACCGATAGTTCAAAAGTCACCAATCCTCGGCAACAAACCAACTCCAAATCCACACCGATAGTTCAAAAGTCACCAATCCTCGGCAACAAACCAACTCCAAATCCACACCGATAGTTCAAAAGTCACCAATCCTAGGCAACAAACCAACTCCAAATCCACACCGATAGTTCAAAAGTCACCAATCCTAGGCAACAAACCAACTCCAAATCTACACCGATAGTTCAAAAGTCACCAATCCTAGGCAACAAACCAACTCCAAATCTACACCGATAGTTCAAAAGTCACCAATCCCAGGCGTTAGAGAATCCCCACAAGAACACACCCCACCCCATCATCTGCATTTCGAAAGTCACAAATCCTTGTCTCATTTGTTTGAATTTGATTACAAACATGAATATTCATATATTAATATCCTTATATCCTTAATCACGTGTTTTACTTTATCCGTATTTTGATTTATATCAATCATTATTAAAATGCCTTTCCCATCATTACTTAGAATCCGAATATTTCTTAGTTAAATATCTTCTAGAAATTAATTTGAAATAAGTGTAGTTCAAACTCATTAATCAATCAATCAATCAATCAATCAATCAAAATAAAGAAAGGAATAACAGCATTCATTATATATAAAACTACAACAAAGTGACATTTATGTACCGGGACTACAAATGTACACGGTACAAATTGATACTTTATATGCCGGAAGTTCAACAGTTGGAGGTACAGAGTGAAACGTTGTATACCGGATGTTCAGTAGAACACAATACAAAGTGATACATTTTATACCGGAACTACAAATGTAGAGTAAAAAATTGATAAGCATATATAGTGAACCGGAACCACAAATATACACGGTATAAAATAATACATTGTATACCGGACCTGGTACAATGATTATGATCCATCTGTACCTCTGACCTATATGTTTCTTTTGATGTCTGACACAGTCACTGCATCTTTCTTGTGACTTATATACAATATATACGTCTTTTATACCGTGGTCTAACCATGGTTATATATCAGATTTCTTTTAAAAGTATAAACAAGATTATTGCCTAAAAAGGGATAACCTTCTCACACAATCACTGCGGTAAAACAACGCGTTTTCGATTAATGTTGTAGACCGGGACTTGTTAAATGGATGAGGGAGGGGTCAGTAATTATGTTTTACTCAGAACAACTTATAACTCTAAATACAAACATAACATTCTTGTGTAGATTTTTTTAGACTTGTCGTTCATCAGAAAATCAGTTATCGACGAAGACCACAAACAAGATAAAAGTCATAAGAGCAGACTTGTGATCTGGCTGAGTGATGACATGTCGATAGAACATCTGCACGATCGGCCACGTGGAACCTTGGTGCGGCGGTCTACCTCGACAATTCATCAACTAACCAGTCCAGAGTAGTTTTTACATTGTCGTGTACTTTATCACTGCGAGTCACACAGTTATTGATATGGCTCCAGAATTATTCGGCACGGACTTAAAAGGCAGTGGTTCTCTCTTCATCATGTCCTAATTTAAATCAAAAGCTCACAGTCATGAAATATCCGCAGTATACGACACACACAAAATCTTAAATGTAAACGAGGCTATAAATCGTCCTTATGGCTCTAGGAATGGGAACCGGAAGTGAATATGACTATATTATGATAGGATGAATGGGTCTCTGATAAGGTGTTAACTTTCGACTTCATCTGGTACGGTCTTTTTGTAATTGTAATATTTAGCCATGTCAGTATTAAAATGTTCTCTCTTATATCATAAAACTTTTTTTGTGAGTTATTCTTGTCTGTTCTTTAATTCCAGCATCATTTTGTCTCCTTGTACTTCCGGTTCTAAGGCACGCTGTTGTGGGTTCTTTATCAGCATTGATGTTGATATGGCTTTTAAACCAATTTATTACCAGATTTTAATTGCTCAAGGCCTTTGCCATTCCTGGTTTCTCGGAGGCCAAATACAGCTTCATCACACACTACTGAATGATATTTATATGTTGAAATATCTATCTTAGCCTGTTCATTGACGGGCAATATATACACATGTATCTCAAAAGCGTGGGAAAAGTTCGTTATAGGTGCTGCTTTGATGGTTCTTTATAACATGATGATACTTCCTTGTGGTGACCTATCCTGAGAGTATCAGACACACTGTGTATCTGTTGGCCCTGATCCTTGTCATTCTGTAGGGAAAATTTGCACATTATCTCGTGTGGTTTTGACCTTATTACATATCAATTAACATACAGATGGTGCAGAAACCTCGCCAGGTCAGGAGTATAATTAGGTGTACATATTTTTCACACCTTCGCCAAACTATTTTTGTGACGTTCCAGGCATTGTATCATCTGAAGGATTTGATTGATAGTCGTACCTACTGTGTTAGTTAAGTACATGCGCACACAGGGGTCTGGTATTTTTACTTTATAAATTTATTATCCTGCAATGTACTCAACATTTTATCTTTTTCCTCGTCTTTTTTACAGACGGGTAGATCTGTGATGCAGCAACCATTAGCCAATAAACTAACTAGGAGGATGAGAATGCCTGTGTCACCAAAACGTTTCGAATCACCGACCTACCTACTACAATCCACAACTATGGTAATTATTTCCAAAATGTTTAGAAAACATTGCGAAGTCGTGAAGTATAGACATAAGGTATTCGCCATACAAATATGCTGATAAGAAAATTAAACACCTTTACAATGAACAGAAACATACGAGTGTATCTGTATTTCTCTATATGGATATTCATGGCATTTGCGGCGATAGTGTTAAATATAATGAACGTGGACTGGAACCAGACGGAATATGTGAACGGTGTAATTATTGTCGTGGTACTAGGGGTATTACAGGGATCCGTGTTCGAATTCCCTGTACAAACGATCGCAACACTGATAGTAGGAGGCGAGACCCGCCATAACAAAAAAGCCCGCTGCGATCGTTTCACCATTGTCCTTAACTATAACCTGCTAGCCCTTGGCAGGGACGACATAGACGAGTGTCTGGACACGATGTTTGAGGCTTATATCGGTAACCTTAGTCCCAATGTGTCCGCCGTTCTTGTTAGCGCCACTGGTGCCGAGGAGCTAAAACAGTACGAAACAGAGGTTGTGAACAAATTCCGGAGTATTATATACGATCAGTTGTATAATGAGGGCATAGCATTCGCCAAGAGTGACCGCGAGTCAATCGACCCCCTACACTACGACAACGTGTGGCAGATGTACGAAGATATAGATAAGGCTTTGTTTATCAGGGAATATCTCCACCAGATCTGTGACCGCTATGCCAAAGAGTTCATGGTCATTCACAGAGTCAGCCGCGTGCTCCGGAAGTGTGGTCAATATCAGGACCTCATGCTGCTATCAGAAGGTGATGACGTAGCATACACATACTGTGACGTAGAATACTATCAAAAGAGCGCGCGACGCTATGGTGAACCACTATTTCACCAATCTGAGGATGTCAGTAATATATTTGGCAGAAAATTTGACTATACCTTAGTGTTGGATGGCGATACTGGGGTTCCAAGGGGAATGGTTTTCGAACTCCTCGAAATTGCTGCAGCCAATCCCGAACGTGGAATTATCCAACCATCTATCAAACTTCACTGCTCCAAGACGGACACAATCTTCATGCATCTCGAGTCAATGCGTCAGGCTATTTATAGTCCGATGACGAACGCTGTCATGGCATTGTTAGGGCAGTCTGCTTATTTCGGAAAAGCAATGATAAAGAATCGCATATACATTGATAAGGTGATAGGCACGCGGACAAACTTGATAGAGCGCGTGCCTGTGGACGTGCTCAGTCATGACACATTCGAAGCGGCTATCTTGCAACCAATGTTCGCCGGCTCTACTCATCTATTAGAGGCCCCTTCGTACAATTTTGTCACGTGGAATATACGAGAGAGACGATGGAATCGAGGGGAAATTTTATTAGCCATGTATTTCTGGAAAAATGGCATCGGCAAACCAATGCGTTGGATACAGAAAAAGTTTCAAAAGGACAAATTCAACAAAACGAAACTGAGGACAGAATCTAAGTTAGACTTTGTGAGCTCCTATGTGGCTTACTCTGCACTTCGGCAGATGTTGATGAAACCATTGTTGTTGTTTTACGTAATAATTCACATCAGCGTCCACCTCCGCTACAGGTATGCTTCCATCATCATCATCATGTTCCTCGTCCTCGTCTTCCCTAAATTCGCAACGTGTACTAAGCACAACTACAAATACGTCATCCTGGAAACTATTGCCTCCATCATTCAGTTCACACCGGAAGCTATCATCGGCTGTGTGCGCATAGTAAAAGCCGTACAGGCAAATTTGTTTGCGAATGTCAAGTGGATTCCTCAAAGGGCAGTAGAGGAGGAATTTAGAGAATCCAATCCATTTTGGTTTAGTTTCAAACATTTGTGGGGATATTCCGCTTTTGCTTTGATATGTGGTGTGTTAGTGATATTGTTTTTACAGAGAGCTATGTTGATTCTTGTTATGTTGATAACACTCTTTCTGTTGCCATTGTATACTGGAGTGACATCGCTTCCGATATCTGCCTCCCACGAAAAGAGTGTAGTTTCTAAACCGAACAGGAGCGCACACGTTGCCTACAGTGTGGCAGCGACACAGGGCGTTTATAAATCTTTAGGAACACTGCGTGCTTTCGGTACATACACCGGAAGTTCTAATGGTACATTTAATGGAAATCCCGACATGCCTCCGGTGTGAACCAGCAGTTACCATAGTCCCCTCAGTAATATATAGATCCAGTGATGTAAGACTGTATAAGCATCTCAGAAATATTGTATTTATAATGAAACGAAAACTATACAAAAACACTGGAAAATTGTGTGAACATATTATCTGCCAGGGGAATATACAGTTCTGTCTGATCGGTGGAAAGTTAATGGTGATAAAATTTGTACTCGATAATCGTTTCCACGATGTTAGGCCGCATGAAATCAAACAAAACGTAATAATTCGTGTCTACCTCATTGTTGCCCGTGTATTATACAGACATATATTTATAGATCTCTCACATTTTATAATACAAAAAAATATTCCTGATCGTGTCGTTTTTCTTGTATTTTTTATCAATATGCGATGATCACTCAAATGATGTTGCTGATGTAGAGAAAATAACAATAACGGACGAGTGTATATGTATAGATAATGTTAAAATGAAAAGTAAGGATAAATAGAATATAACAACTGGCCGTAATTCATATAGATAATAGCATCATTGACGGTTATCCTTCATGGCACATAAAATATAATAATTGACAGTAACTCCAAAACTAATATCATCAGTGACAGTTATCTGCATAGAGGATGTAGTTAATTAATGCTTATGGGTATAGAGCTTGTAATAACTGCCAGTAACTGGTTCAGCGGAAATATAATCGATATCAACCGAAAATACAGGTACGGAGAAAGTAATAATTGAAGGTTACTTGTACATAAAACAATAAATAAAATTATAATAACCGACACTTACGGGTAAATAAAATTATAATAACCGACACTTACGGGTAAATAAAATTATAATAACCGACACTTACTGGTAAATAAAATCTAAATAAAATTATAATAACCGACATTTAATGGTGAATAAAATTATAATAACCGACACTTACTGGTAAATAAAATTATAATAACCGACACTTACTGGTAAATAAAATTGTAATAACCGACACTTACTGGTATAGAAAATTAGTAACAACTGACACTTACTGGTATAGAAAATTAGTAACAACTGACACTTACTGGTATAGAAAATCTAAATAAAATTATAATAACCGACATTTAATGGTGAATAAAATTATAATAACCGACACTTACTGGTAAATAAAATTATAATAACCGACACTTACTGGTAAATAAAATTGTAATAACCGACACTTACTGGTATAGAAAATTAGTAACAACTGACACTTACTGGTATAGAAAATTATAATAAATGACACTTACTGGTAAATAAAATTATACTAACTGTTATCTACCGGTATAGAAAATCATGATAACTGACACCTACTGGTATAAAATATTATAACAACTGACACTTTCTGGTTTAGAATATTAAAATAACTAACACTTACTGGTATAAAAATTTATAATAAATGACACTTACTTTTATAGAAAATTAGTAATAACTGACACTTACTGGTATAGAAAATTACAATAACTGACACTTACTGGTATAGAAAATTACAATAACTGACACTTACTGGTATAGAAAATTACAATAACTGACACTTACTGGTATAGAATTTTATATAAATGACACTTACTTGTATAAAAAAATATCTGACACTAACAATAACTGACACTTACTGGTATAGAAAATTAGTAATAACTGACACTTACTGGTATAGAAAATTAGTAATAACTGTCACTTACTGGTATAGAATTTTATATAAATGACACTTACTTGTATAAAATATCGTAACAACTGACACTTACTGGTATAGAAAATTAGTAATAACTGACACTTACTGGTATAGAAAATTACAATAACTGACACTTACTGGTATAGAAAATTACAATAACTGACACTTACTGGTATAGAAAATTACAATAACTGACACTTACTGGTATAGAATTTTATATAAATGACACTTACTTGTATAAAATATCGTAACAACTGACACTTACTGGTATAGAAAATTAGTAATAACTGACACTTACTGGTATAGAAAATTACAATAACTGACACTTACTGGTATAGAAAATTACAATAACTGACACTTACTGGCATAGAAAATTAGTAATAACTGACACTTACTGGTATAGAATTTTATATAAATGACACTTACTTGTATAAAATATCGTAACAACTGACACTTACTGGTATAGAAAATTAGTAATAACTGACACTTACTGGTATAGAAAATTACAATAACTGACACTTACTGGTATAGAAAATTACAATAACTGACACTTACTGGTATAGAAAATTACAATAACTGACACTTACTGGTATAGAAAATTAGTAATAACTGACACTTACTGGTATAGAAAATTAGTAATAACTGTCACTTACTGGTATAGGAAATTAGTAACAACTGTCACTTACTGGTATAGAATTTTATATAAATGACACTTACTTGTATAAAATATCGTAACAACTGACACTTACTGGTGTAGAAAATTAGTAATAACTGTCACTTACTGGTATAGAATTTTATATAAATGACACTTACTTGTATAAAATATCGTAACAACTGACACTTACTGGTGTAGAAAATTACAATAACTGACACTTACTGGTATAGAAAATTAGTAATAACTGTCACTTACTGGTATAGAATTTTATATAAATGACACTTACTTGTATAAAATATCGTAACAACTGACACTTACTGGTATAGAATATTATAATAAATGACACTTACTGTTATAGAAAATTAGTAATAACTGTCACTTACTGGTATAGAATTTTATATAAATGACACTTACTTGTATAAAATATCGTAACAACTGACACTTACTGGTATAGAATATTATAACAACTGACACTTACTGGTATAGAATATTATAACAAATGACACTTACTGGTATAGAATATTATAACAACTGACACTTACTGGTATAGAAAATTATTAATAACTGACACTAAATGGTATAGAAAATTAGTAATAACTGTCACTTACTGGTATAGAATTTTATATAAATGACACTTACTTGTATAAAATATCGTAACAACTGACACTTACTGGTATAGAATATTATAACAACTGACACTTACTGGTATAGAATATTATAACAAATGACACTTACTGGTATAGAATATTATAACAACTGACACTTACTGGTATAGAAAATTAGTAATAACTGACACTTACTGGTATAGAAAATTAGTAATAACTGTCACTTACTGGTATAGAATTTTATATAAATGACACTTACTTGTATAAAATATCGTAACAACTGACACTTACTGGTGTAGAAAATTACAATAACTGACACTTACTGGTATAGAAAATTAGTAATAACTGTCACTTACTGGTATAGAATTTTATATAAATGACACTTACTTGTATAAAATATCGTAACAACTGACACTTACTGGTATAGAATATTATAATAAATGACACTTACTGTTATAGAAAATTAGTAATAACTGTCACTTACTGGTATAGAATATTATAATAAATGACACTTACTTGTATAAAATATCGTAACAACTGACACTTACTGGTATAGAATATTATAACAACTGACACTTACTGGTATAGAATATTATAACAACTGACACTTACTGGTATAGAATATTATAATAAATGACACTGTTATAGAATATTATAATGAATGACACTTACTGGTTTAGAAATTTATAATAAATGACACTTACTGTTATAGAAAATTAGTAATAACTGACACTTACAGGTATAGAAATTAAAATAACTGAAATCTACCGGTATAGAAAATTATGATAACTGACATTTAGTAGTATAGAAAATTGAAATGACACTTGCTGGTATTAAAACCATGATAACTGACAGTTACCTGTATATAAAATCATAATAACTGACACCTACTGGTATAGAAAATTATAATAACTGATATTTAGTGACAAAGAAAATTAAAATGACACTGGTATAAACAAATTCATAATAACTCACTCTTCCTGATATGTAAATGTAGAATTATGGTAACTGACACTTCATTGCACAGACAATTTTTAATTTTCATTTGTATATGAAATTGTAATGATTTACACTTATCGGTATAGATAATGTACTGATTGCCAGTTATTGCTCTTATAATAACTAACAGTCATGGAAAAAGAGAAGTTGATAATTAACAGCTATTGCTATAGTTGTACATAGATGTAAATAATTGCCAATAATTGCCAGGGAAGTTAATAATTGATAGTTTTTGCTACAGAGATGTTTATAATTGATAGTTATTTCTATAGAGAAGTTAATAATTGATAGTCATTGCTACAGAGATGTTTATAATTGATAGTCATTGCTACAGAGATGTTTATAATTGATAGTTATTGCTACAGAGATGTTTATAATTGATAGTTATTGCTACAGAGATGTTTATAATCGATAGTTATTGCTACAGAGATGTTTATAATCGATAGTTATTGCTACAGAGATGTTTATAGTTGATAGTTATTGCTACAGAGATGTTTATAATCGATAGATATTGCTACAGAGATGTTTATAATTGATAGTTATTGCTACAGAGATGTTTATAATCGATAGCTATTGCTACAGAGATGTTTATAATTGATAGTTATTGCTATAGAGAAGTTAATAATATTGATAGTCATTGCTACAGAGATGTTTATAATTGATAGTTATTGCTATAGAGAAGTTAATAATATTGATAGTAATTGCTACAGAGATGTTTATAATTGATAGTTATTGCTATAGAGAAGTTAATAATATTGATAGTAATTGCTACACACAATGTTATAATTTACATTTATTGCTGTAGAGAAAATGTGCCGCTTCGTTTGAATGAATGTAAGACGAGGACTAATTTAGAAGAAGACAAATTGTCTGTAAATTATAGAAGTTGTCATCACTAGACGGTTTCTGTGTAAGCAAAATTATTTCTGGTCGTTTGTCTTCTTAATACACACAATTATTAGATTTTCTAATACAACTTTGCCTTAATGCATTAGGCGTTTCTCGGACTCGGGGATTAATTTACTGACGGTACCTGCCTGATTCTTTATCGTACATGAAATGTTCTTGTTTAATTAACTT